TCATTCATAAAAGTCGAAATATTGTTAAAGTATATTCAACGAACATAGTATATATAGTTTTTGTACGGGATTTTTTGTCGACGAAGCTAGCTTTGTTCCCTTTTACATTTTATTACAACCGAACTTGTACGTCATTTAATTAATATGTAACTGCTTTATTAGCGTAGCCATATTTTGACTACATATGACCTAATTAAAAAATGCCACTCCGTTCATTAAATATGAAAACATGAAACAGCTAATTAATTGGTATGATGGCATTTTATCCCCTTGTTGGCAGCATTGGCTTATCGCCAGAACGCTATTTTTAATTTTAATGAATCAACACAACAGAATATGGCTAGTTATTACTTTATTTAATTATACGAGTAGAGCTATGACAGAACATATTACAATATTAATAGCAGGCATTACCTTTTAATATGTTTAGTGTGTTGTGTGTACAAAAAGGTCTCTGATAGAAACAGACTCGTAATATGAGGGTGGGATAACTGTTTGGAAAACAATCCGTCAATCAATGTCAAAAAAAATATAAAGTTGGCGTTCCCTGTATATTATAGAAAGAGGAGAAGACAGTTTTATTTAAAATGTTATTTGTAGATATTCTTTAAATTTACCAGGCAATACTTTCTCAAATAATAATTTACTAAAAATAATAAATTTCTATGAAAATAACAATTCACAAAAAGTAAATAACTGAACTGTCAATGCAAATAACGTCAAACACATTTTTGTTATTCAAAACCTACGACGATAAAAAATATTGACAATTTCGATTCCCAGTGATTAATACATGTAACATTATTTTTAAACGGATTTTACACAAAAATGGAACATTCTACCATTATGAACCAAGAGTATCTTTTTTTAATAAAAAACTATGAAATTTCATACTTTTCAGTAAAAAGTTAAAAAAGTCAACACATAAAAAAGTTATGGTAAATTTTACCGCCCTCACCCATGTTGGAACGTATGTGATGAAAATTTATAAATTTCGTTTTAGTGGCGGACTGAGCACGTAAGAATTAAGCTAAGTACCAAATTTTATAAATTTATCTCAACTGGTTTCGGAGTTATTTAGAAAAAACCATCATCAGAGTGGTCCCTTTAAGTGGCTATAACTTCCTTAGGAAGAATTTTTGGACCCATGTTTATATAAAGAAAAAGTAATCTTTTTCGACATAGAACACCCCGTAGAAATATTGCCCCCTAATTTCGGGACACCCTGTATATCAGCGACCCTGTATTTAAAAGCACCACTTAGCTGGATGACTGTAGTGTTCATTATAATGTATCTTAAGTATTTTTCACTTGATCCAGTGGCTTCAGCAGATTTGATAAATGCTTATTTATTCATTACTACTATTGTTTTCATGCTTTTATTATCGTGGTTTATTGTCTAGCTCAGTCTTACAAGTTTTCAGAGTGGCCTATATGAATAGCATTGCAAAATTAACAGATATTGTTTTAATTTATGATGCATCAAGACACAACGTATTAGCAGCATCTCGTTTGTATGCAAAACGTTTTCCCGATAGACATGTGTTGAATGCTTCTACCTTTACCACGTGGTTCAGAGGGTGCAAAAGTTTAAATTTGTAACCAAATCATGGGAGAAAGCTCGATTCAAACACATGGTAAATCAGAAATCCAATAATCCAGACGGAAAGTGACTAAAACCAATAACGGGGAGTCAATTTATAAATTGAAGCATTTTAAAATATAATCTGGATTATAGAGCTTCGAAGATTATACATGTATATTCTTGGTAAAAACTTACAAAAAATTAATGGAATCTATTTTCTTTCACTATTCAAGCCTAATTAGTTTTGTTCTCTTTTGTAATTCATAATCAATATGTCGAACACATCAAAGTATCACTGTAAAATTAAATGATAAAATAGAATAGAATAAAAATGATAGTCAATATTATTTAGATATTTTTTTAAATTGGTATAAAAATAAAACAATTTATCTATTTTTTACACATCCTTTAATCTAATTAGAAGTTCGGAATGCTTTAAATCATATTATTGAAATTTTACTGTACTATTTTGCACCTTTATTGCAAAATGGCATTTAATCTTTTTTTAATATTTTATGGTTAATAAAAAAATATTTTTTACCTGTTCCTCAGGAAGAACAGAACTCACAGCCTCGTGCAATTTCGTAAGGTGTCTCGAAATGTTTCTAAATTGCTTTGAGGGCACAGGCGGTTTTGCGTCCCACTCATTTAGCTGGTCCCCCAAGAGACTATTCATTATGGATAAAATTTTGGTCTCCAGCTGTTGAACGTGATGCCCAATATCTTTCTCCACAATATCAAAGCTACCTAAAGAATCGCCTATAAGGGTGTTGAAATGCACTCTAATATGAGGAATCATCCACAAAACTAACTGCAAAGACCGAGACGCTAAAGCTAGGTTTGTACTGGTAATAGTTTTTAACCCAGCCGTTCGTAACGCCCCCGCGCCAAGTACAAGTTGGCAAGACCGTGAATTGAACGTCCTTAACAACTCCGCCAAGTTCCTACCTATCACAGGAGCTAAGAGCTGTAGGTCGTATGCACACACACAATATTCACTAACTAGTCTGATTAAAATTAATACAGTTCCTATGGTATAATAATGCTGTAACCCAACTTTTAAATATGGAGCAGGTTTGCTATCATATCTATTTGTCGTTATGTCTTCTTCACTTGGAGAATCGGGGAGAGATTTCATTACGGAACCTAATGCTAACTCATCAATGAGTACTTGTATTTCAGTGGGTACATCGGCTGCTTTCCACCTCTCCGAGTCTAAAAGTAGAGTCAATTTATTCTTTCGTTGGCTGTGAAACTTATGAACGTAGTTGCCGGCTTGGATTTTGAAAGCAGCTTTTAAGGCGGCACTCTGCCGCCCGCATATTTTTTCGCACAAGTCAGTGAAATTTTCTACTATGTCCGACAGTTCTGTGACCTGGGCTGCAGTTATTGCTTGCTTATCGGTCTGTGTGCTTACAAGGGATGCTAATCGCTCGTTGCAATAATCACAAACTGAGATGAGGAGATCTTTCAATTTCACTTCCACCTTACCATGTTCTTCTAATGTCAGAAAATGATCCATATCCCTCAGAGATAGTTGGGGGTCTGGTAGAAGGCCCGCACTGGACGCAGCTGTTTCTTTTATCACATCATGCACCGCTCTCACTCTTTGAATAAGTTTTCCTGTAAAGGTAATATTTACAGGATATTTAATTGTGCAGTGTATCTCATTTTCAATATCATGCGCTACAGTACTTCTCTCAATTATTATTAAAGACAAAAAGTTGGGTTTTCACGAATGTTAGCCACTCTATTTCAGAGAAATGTTCAAGTTAAAACAAACATTAAAATTCTGATATTTTATCTTGTAGGTATATTTTTGGCATACAATTAATTTAAAAAAATATATAACAGTTTTTCATTCACAGATCAAAATATTTTTTTAAATTTAAACCGTGGTCAGCCTAATTAAAAACATGTTTTGCAGTTTTCGTAAATATACATACAATTTGTCATACTCTTCTCAAAAAAAGATGCAGACATAATATAGAACAGGTATGTTTCATTTAAATAAATGTGTATTATAAGGAATGTGATATGTTCCGTAAGAAACGGCAAAACATTTTTAAAAGTTTCAATACCTCACCGACTATATAAATTTTTTCTGTTACCAAATTCTTTGTCTCTTTTTTAAATCTATAGAAAAAAGGTTATAATTTTTTTTATTCTTGCAGATAAGTATGACAAATTATACATTTTTTGAAAGTATAGAATACTTTCCTGTTAACTAGATTATTGTCAAGTATGGTTACCATTTAAAAAAATATAACTGATCTGTCCCGCAAGTTTCTATCATCAATAATAATCAAGATTAGACATTTATGATTTATTATATTACCTATTATCTATTATTAAAAAAATGTGTTCACTGGATTGAAAATTTTATTTTCTTTCACTGTGCAATGAATTAATAAATAAAATCAAAATTTAAAAAGTATAAACTTTAATGTGGATAAAGGAAAAATGCAAATTGGAAAAATATACAAATTATTTTATAAATTTCCAGGTTTCTTTAAATCTTCCTCAAAATAAAAATTAGCTTATCCTAGAGATTTTATAACATGTTCTACATATAGGTTCAAAATGATAACGCATGTCTCAATCTTGTCTAATTTGTCAGCAATTGTAGCTCCTAGTAGTATGGCCTAACAGGCATGTAACTAGACTTCAAAATTGGGTGGGCTCAATTTCTTTAGGTGATTACTAAATTCATACATCTTCCAATTTTCTAACATATTTTTACTCATTATTTCGATTCTTTCATATGTGGGTTAGTCAACAAGTTTTTTGGACAAGTAATTGTCTACAAGGCCCTCCTGGTTAAGTGTGGCTGTGACGCAAATAGACTTTGTATAGTTTATTAAACAATATGTGAACATTTTCTGTAAGGAGTCCAATCCCGGAGTTGTTAGATGTATTACAGTATCTAGATTTGAGTTTCTGCCATTCTGCCACTTGTCAAACCATTATACAAAACAATTTTAATTATTATTGGTTACATCAGTCCACAGCATGTAAAATATTACCATACATAGCTACCTCACGACTAAATTGTTTATAAACTTTATTCATTTCCCTAAGGAGAAATGAATAAAATTTGCCTTAAGAGATGCACTTTGACGCTTTGGTATATAACATACTGTTACTTACCTAGTGTATCACTTGCCAATTTTAATACTGTTAGCCAATGAGCAGCATCCATAGTCAAAACAACTTCTCCAGAACCTGTTAATTCGCTCAGTTCATCATCTGCATCAGCTAACTGTTCAATCATTAGCTGTTTCAAAAATGCTTGAGCCGCTGTAACAGCTTCTTGTTTGTAGGTCTCTAAAAACTGTAAACGATTTTGCCTCAATAAACCCGCCACTAAACTAATTAATCTCTCCGGCTCTAAAACTCCTCCATTTACATCTAATGGTCGATGTAAGTCAGCAGCAGAGTACCTTTCAAATTCAGTGCTTAGCATCTTATCTATTAATTTTAACATTTCTTTCAACTGTGATGGCAAATGTCTTAAACTTGTAACTCCTGCCAACTCCTTAGCTAAAACTTCTTGAGTGCTTGAAATCAGTTCGAGAGCTGCCACATAATCTGAAGAGCTCAGCAATAGTTGCAGTGTAGGTTGAGTCTGTAGTACAGTCGACATTAATTTTAATTTATCTAATAAGTTAACATGATTCGATTTTGATGTAGACAACCCAAGCAGTTTAAGAGAATCTGTTGCTAAAGCTTTATCAACTTGCTGCACTTTTGAACGTAATAATCGTACCTCATTACAGGCTGTTCCCATTTGTTCCATTATAGTATCATGAGATGTCATAGCATGAAAAAATGCTCCAGATTTCTGAGAAACCTGATGTGCTATTTGTTCTTCTACTGTATCTAAATAATAACTCAATTCGTCTTGTAAATCATGTTCAGTTTTATTTTCCTGAAACACCTCTGCAAAAACCATAGGATCATTCAAATTAAACTGATGTCTTAAATATATTTCAGGAATGTTGTCTGTATTGAGATTAGTGCTTTTCGGCTGCTTAATTTGTATATTTTCAAATTTGGTTTGGGATAGTCGTAAGTGTCTTTTATATCTTTTACCATACTTTCGCAGATATGATTCAAAATGGGCATATGTTATTTCTGGTAAGAAAGGACTTTTTTCAATAACGGTCTTGTCAACGAAAGTATCACCCCATGTCTTGGTAAAAAAGTTTATTTGTTTTCCTCGATTGGGATCTGTTAAAACAGCCGGTAAATGTTGAGCAGCGGTATAAATTGTCCACTGCTCATCTTCAACATTCATTTTGTAAAAACTGTGGTATCGTTTTCAAATATGTATCTTTTAGAACTCACAGACATTCCCAGAAATATTAACATTATACAGAATGTGACATATTGAACTACTCAACCCATTAGATTTCTTCTTGTCATCAATTAACCCGTCCTAAACACCACTAAAACAAAAAACCACTTGCTACTATTCGTCATACTTTAGTACCTCTTCTCATGTTGTCAATTGTCAGTTGTCACTGTCACCAAATGTCACGGACCGTGACCAAATGTCACATGTCACTACTTGGCATTTTTTGGCGAGAATACCGTTAACGCGGTTAATTATATTACCACAGTTTGACATTTTCGCAAGAAGTTAACCCGATTTGACCGAGATTGCCAAACCCTTAGACCATATACTACTGGAGGCAGCGTCCCAGTTACGGAGAGAGTAGCAGAGGTTTATAGAGGGGTATAGGAGTGTATGTCATGTCATTGGGGTGGTCACCCAGGGTCAAAAAGTTGGTGTCGAGGTCTTTTGTGTTGTCTCGTCTTTTGTGTCAACGGCTTGCCTGAGGAGAGGATTGTCATGTCTAGCGGCTACGTCAAACTGTTTCTTGGCGTTTTGTCTTATTGTCTGTGTAGCGTTTGTGTATTGAAAGTCTCGTAATATTTCAGTGTTTCTTACGTACCAGGGCGCGTCGGTGGCCGTGCGGAGGGCTATGTTTTCCACAGCCTGTAGTGACTTTAGGTGGCTTTTTGCCGCATGACCCCACGTCGTGGAGGCGTAGGCTTATTAGCTGCGGTTAAAGTACCACCTTGATAAGCGTTCGCTTATTCCTTAAACTGAGGGTGTTTCCAGGTGAGTAAGGGATAGAGCCTAGCCCTGATGGTCTTCGCTCGCGCCACCGTCTCCACGGTGTGCGGTTTCCACGTGAGACGCTGGTCCATCGTCACGCCCAGGTATCGTGTTTGTCGATTTCAGGAGATGGGTTGCTGGGATAGTGTCAGTCTGTCGAGGTTTTGTGGGATTTTTCGTTTGGTAAAAAGGATAGCCGAACTTTTGTTGGGATTAATTTTGACTTTCCACCAGTTGCACCAGGTTTCAAGTTGGTCTAGGGAGTTTTGGAGGAGGGAGGCGGAATATCTAGGATCTACGGATTGGGATATCCCATCTCTACTGACAATCATATTATGTGATTTGTCAGGTCGTCGGCTATAAATGTTAGTATTGGGGGATGTGAAATGTCGGAGTTGTAAATGGTGTATTAGTTTATTAGGTCTATGCTGCGATTGCATTCAGAAAATCATATCAGTAATAATTTGTTGAGTAATCGTGTACTGAACATATCTGAAGACAATTAACGATAAGTAATCAAATAACATTTCATTTAATCGAACGTTATTTTTTTAATCGCTACTTGTTTTTATTTTAATTTTTTATGTTATTTAGCAGTTAGCAGATCAATTAAATCTCAATCTTTACTTTTATTACTTGTTCACAACCATAAGAGTAAATAAATAAGAGGATTTTATTGGATAGGGCGGACGGAGCATGCATTCACTGAGGCCATCTCACGTTGGTGCAGCATAACATTGTCGTTTATAGAAATTGTTAAACAGAAATCTGCTTACTATATGAATATCTGTGTGTACCTCCGATTACTGTGGATAGAATCAGTTCGAAAATTATGTAAATCAGAATTTATTCCGACAAACACATCATATTATTTTTGTGAAGACCATTTTAAGAAAAACTGTTTAAAAAACAGTAATAGGAAGTGCTGTGCCAACATTATTTTTAGGATCAAGTACAAGTTCACCTATTAATTGTAATAATATCACCTCGGAATCCTCGGATAGTATCCAACATTCAACAAATCAATTTGTTAACGTAACATTACAGAATTTTCAGAGTACGAGCTGCCGAACTTCAATTTAGGATGATTTTTCACCTCCACCTTTTAAAAAACCGAAATGCATATGTTTAAAATTGTTATTTGCTACAAGTGCTATAAGTGTAGTATCGTACTGATAAAAACCAATTACTTCGAAACAAATGTATCTAACCATAATTTTTGTCAAGTCACTGTGCAATGCATTTTACATAAAGGCAGGTAAATAATTCTTTCAAATTCTTTAAAATTTGCAGTTTTTAATGGTTTCTTTAAAAAATAATAATTACAAGTCTCCCTGTACATTTTTTATACTTAAATATTTTCGAATTCATAACAAAATGAATTTTGTCACACATTTAAGTATCACTTATTATCACTTGATTAAATGAAAGAGTTAAAGCAAAGTGTTTCATAAGTAATGGGTCATGGAATAGCTGTTAATGGTTTACGTTAATTTCAATGATTAACTTATACTATTAATAGCTGTTTTGTGATCGATTACTTATGAAACACTTTATTTGTGTATTTTGTTACATTTAAATTTACCGCCATTATGGTGCAGCGACATCTATTAGATAGTAGAATTAATGGTTACTCCAATTGTGTTTTCCAATGCAGTTTCCTTAATTGTTTTATGGTCTGTGGTTTCCGAGTATGCCGTTTGCTGCACTAGCTGCAGATGGCGGTACTCTGCCGCTGCTGCCGACAGAATACATAGAAAAAACCCTTTATTTAAATAATAACTTAAATAAACCCTTATTTAGTTACTCATGATAATACTACTTATTAGGCCAATCAATAGAGGTTTTTTTTTATTTGTCACAAAAATACTAGTAGCAAACGGACTGCGCCTTCACATAAAAGACAGTCTGTAGATATTGTATGCTTATATGTTTCCTACTCCAATTTACCATTAATTTTTTATAAACGTCCTAAGAATATTGAACCGTAGAATGTAATTCAAAATCCAACCAAACTTGTCAGTTATTTTTCATCAGTCGTAGTTAAATCAGCTGTATAAGGCGAAGAAGTATGATGATTTAATACAAATTGCAATCGAAACGAGAGCAAGTTTTTTTTTTATGATCGATAATTAGCCCCAGGGAGACTCCTAGCAGAATTATAAACTTTGAGCCAACAGAATCGATCAGTTAGGCTGTGTACTTTTATTCATATCGGCGCAATTGATTATGTACAGCCAATCAGACATTAAGAATTTTTTAAACAGGTTCGAACATTCGATAATTTTTCAAAAACTCCATACAAGTTGCAATAGCCATCGAAACAACTGGGCAAACAACCCCATACGGCCTACTATGTAGATCGAATGGCGTTGAGCAGGAAAACACATTTTCAGCAGTTTTGAAAATTTTCTCCCACCCAAAAGCCAGCAAGTCTTCAGAAGACGTTAACCACGCATGCCCTTAGCGACCAAGAGCCACTGGCAGCACAAGGCACGAAAATATTCACCACTTTTGAATTATTGCAAAAAAACTCGAACTACAACACCTTGCTACAGGACTCCTGTGGAGCCAACGTGGCGTGTTTGAACGTCAACACAAACACCCTGCAGTTCAATAACCAGCGTCAGATCCTGGCCAGTACTAGTAAGCCACAAATTATTTTATGCTTTTGTCTTATATGCAAATATTGTATTCTATTGTTAATTATTACGAAAATTGTAATAAATCTCACAATTTTTTATAAAAATTAAATCCGAGTTAAATTTCTCCCACAAAATTTCATGAGCTCACAGCTCCCATTGTTCCTGATGTAGCATATACCACTCGGTTTTAACCACCCAGAAGTGAAGACCCTGAAGGATTGTATCCCTAAAGCTTCCTTATACAAGTCCCTAAGAAGGCAACATCAACTCAAGCTCTAAAGCTTCCATAGATGTTTTCCAAGGAGGCCACATACACACAAACTTTAGTGCCCTAGCCACTCAAAGACAATGATAACAAAGACACAAGAGTACTATATTGACAGTGCTCCCATAGCACAGAGCTCAATGTAAAACAAGGTTAAGCCAAAAACCTCAACAAAATAACATAAAAAACTGTAATCCCAAACCAAATTATTTTCAAAATAAGTAATTTCCTGTAATGAACCTACTTATTAATAGAATATTAAACATTTTACTTATTGGACACATAAATGAAATTATATCAATTAACGTATTTTTATTTAGAAATTTAAGTATAATAATTTCTTACATAGGAATATATATGTATATATTAGGTATCACACACAAGTGTATTCAGTAATATTTATTGACTATCATGACAAGAAATGATGGAGATAATTATAAAAACACCACTTTAACACAAATTAATATAAGCAAGTAATAAATTTCCTTTATTGAAGCTAAAACTATATCTAGTACTAGTAGTAGTCAATCGAAACTTCACACTGTTTATATTACAGAACTAATAAAATTTAAACAGTTTCATAATCGCTTCTTATAGCTTTAGCCAAGTAACATGCCAAAAGGATTCCCAAAAGCTAAAAAAAATATGTATCAATTAACTCTGTTGACAGACGAAAAATATTTCATTTAACACATAAACATACACTTTGCATAAAAATTAATGCACCATTATAAATGAGTTCCAATTTTAAGTTACTTCATTGTCTCAAACAGCTAATCTGATATCGACTATGTTTTTTTAGTTATAGATTTATTTTTCGGTCACAATGCTAAAATAGAAATTTTTATTGAAACTTCAGAATACACAGGTTGTAAAGAAGAATAAGTTTTTTCCTTGGAAGCTAAAATAATAACTGTTTACATGTATCAAACTGTAGTCCTTTGTTTTCTGAACAATTTGCTTTTTAATTTACTTCATTGTCTCTATTATTAATTGAGATATAGTTAAATTAAAGCGCAGCAGTATATTGTAAAAATTTTAAAATATGTAACATACAATTATAACCTTATTAATTTGAATAATTTCAAGCTACAGAGTTAATGGGGAACTAAAAAATGAAAATAAATTTTATTCTAGAATAAAATTTAAACAATATTTCATAAAAAAAAACGTAAATTTTAACTTTCTTCAATTATGTGTTGAAAGATATTGGCGATAACAAAGTCGGATACCAAAATAATAGGCAGTGATTTCATCTTTAATCCGGCTCACCATTTTTAAGTCAACACAAAGAGAAGTATGAGCCGTTTGTAAATTCTTCATATAAAATTGTGTGTGCCACATTCTCCCAGAGCAGTTGATATTGCAGAGTTTTAGGAATTCTTCTGCTGCAACAAATTCTAGACTTTCATTGGTGTTTGGTGAGTGCCGTCAAATGGATTGCGTATGGCGTGCACCAGATATTCTTCTGCTGCAGCAAATTCTAGATTTTCATGCGTGACGTCAACTGGGTTGCATTTATTTGATTGCGGGTTATTCTGTCGGAACAGGCAAATAGGCGTACGCGCGGGAGAAGTCCTAGGATATCTTTCCGTTAATTTAATTGTGCTTGCAATTAATTTATTAGTAATTTTGGGTTTGTGTACTTTAAAATGGAGAGTAATTCAAGCTGGATGGTATTTTAAATATGAGCTTCCGATAATAAAAACATTCAGGATGCTATATCACAGGATCAAAATTTCCCTAGAATATATAGGAGGGTGCTTTTGCGAACTATGCATGACATGAATTTCCGTTTTATAAAACGAAACCGTATGAGTATGCTGTTATGTTATGTTATGATATGAAAGTTCACCTAAAAATTGACATAGAATCCGAAAATACGATAATGTACAGGGTGTTCCATTTAAAGTAATGAAGATGACGTCAACTTTCGGTATAACCGGAAGCGTTAGGTGGACACCATTATTTTAGTTGAGAAGGGCATGCCCGAAAACACTGTTGCCCAAATTTTCAAAATTAAAATCAAAGTAGTATCTGATATGTCTAATGTCTTGTCACCGTGGGACACCCTGTATTGGATATTTGTCAGACATAAAGTGATGTCTTGGTTGAACAATATTTTGTTAACCCTCCAAAGAGTTCACCCTGTATATTACTTTCATTATTTTGAGAAGCTTACTGAATGTACATGAACCGGTGAGAAAAATTATTCATTAGATTTTTTTGTCACACTTATAATTCCAGAAACACATTTATTTAATTAGTTTTTCAGTATTTTTGTGGCAATCAGAACAGTTAGAGGCGTTTTTTAAAAATATTCTTGTTTTTTTATTACATCACGATTTCTTAATGAAAATTTTTACACAAAATCAAAAAATTGTAAATACTAATGGGAAAATATTTATTGATTTGTCACAGACAAAAAGTTCTTCCTTGCTGGAGATTTTATTTTTAATTAAATTTTGTTTTCTATATTAGGTTAAATTGTTAGGTTTCTTGAAAAGTTAATTCTCTTTACCTAGGAAATCAGCTAAATCTGTATTACAATTATTTTAAGTAAAACAAAACCAACCATTTTTCGCTTTTTATGGCCCCACAAACTTGTTTCAATTCGTGCGAATTGGCCACACGAATCTGCACAAACGTGCCAGGCACTTAGTGTGTGGAGAAAAAAAGCGGTATGGTTTCACACGTTGCCTTTCTTGGTTCGCGCGATTTGGTCCGTACGGTCCCATTTGCACAAATGGAACAAAGTCTGTGGGGCCCTTTAAAGATATTGAAACATGTAATACAATTTAAACGTCATCTAGTCGGCAACTCACATTATAATATTTCTTCAACTGTTGTGTATAAATACACAGAAGGAATTTTTTCAATGTAACAAATAAATATTATACTATGTATTTGGACTTATCCAGAAAAGTACAGTATTAAGTTCAGGTACTATTAATAGTGAACTGAAGTATGTAAATCTATCTCTTTTCCTTGTTTGAATATTAAAAAGCTGATTAAAAAAGTGTGACCTAGAATTTTGTTGTTAATTGAAAAATAAAGAAGTGTGACAAATGCTCGATTTTTCTCACTGGTTCATGTACTTTCAGTATGCTATATGAAATAATAGAAAAATATACAAGGTGAACTTTTCGGAGGGTCCACAAAAAGTTAGATATTTTCCAATATTGGTCTCTAATTTTTAGAGAAAAACACTGATTTGATCGAGTTTGTTGCTGATTTTATCAAGGTTGCCATGGAAACAAGATAATTTTAATGTTTATATTGATATATTGACATAAATCAATTAGTCCACAGTACAGCCCCCCTCTGGATAGTTGATTACCACATACTTTATAACTCCTGAGGAGCTTCGTTTTGACGAGTCTACCACATTTTTCCTCTGCGACTTTTCTCANAAAGCTTCCATACACAAGTCCCTAAGAAGGCAACATCAACTCAAGCTCTAAAGCTTCCATAGATGTTTTCCAAGGAGGCCACATACACACAAACTTTAGTGCCCTAGCCACTCAAAGACGATGATAACAAAGACACAAGAGTACTATATTGACAGTGCTCCCATAGCACAGAGCTCAATGTAAAACAAGGTTAAGCCAAAAACCTCAACAAAATAACATAAAAAACTGTAATCCCAAACCAAATTATTTTCAAAATAAGTAATTTCCTGTAATGAACCTACTTATTAATAGAATATTAAACATTTTACTTATTGGACACATAAATGAAATTATATCAATTAACGTATTTTTATTTAGAAATTTAAGTATAATAATTTCTTACATAGGAATATATATGTATATATTAGGTATCACACACAAGTGTATTCAGTAATATTTATTGACTATCATGACAAGAAATGATGGAGATAATTATAAAAACACCACTTTAACACAAATTAATATAAGCAAGTAATAAATTTCCTTTATTGAAGCTAAAACTATATCTAGTACTAGTAGTAGTCAATCGAAACTTCACACTGTTTATATTACAGAACTAATAAAATTTAAACAGTTTCATAATCGCTTCTTATAGCTTTAGCCAAGTAACATGCCAAAAGGATTCCCAAAAGCTAAAAAAAATATGTATCAATTAACTCTGTTGACAGACGAAAAATATTTCATTTAACACATAAACATACACTTTGCATAAAAATTAATGCACCATTATAAATGAGTTCCAATTTTAAGTTACTTCATTGTCTCAAACAGCTAATCTGATATCGACTATGTTTTTTTAGTTATAGATTTATTTTTCGGTCACAATGCTAAAATAGAAATTTTTATTGAAACTTCAGAATACACAGGTTGTAAAGAAGAATAAGTTTTTTCCTTGGAAGCTAAAATAATAACTGTTTACATGTATCAAACTGTAGTCCTTTGTTTTCTGAACAATTTGCTTTTTAATTTACTTCATTGTCTCTATTATTAATTGAGATATAGTTAAATTAAAGCGCAGCAGTATATTGTAAAAATTTTAAAATATGTAACATACAATTATAACCTTATTAATTTGAATAATTTCAAGCTACAGAGTTAATGGGGAACTAAAAAATGAAAATAAATTTTATTCTAGAATAAAATTTAAACAATATTTCATAAAAAAAACGTAAATTTTAACTTTCTTCAATTATGTGTTGAAAGATATTGGCGATAACAAAGTCGGATACCAAAATAATAGGCAGTGATTTCATCTTTAATCCGGCTCACCATTTTTAAGTCAACACAAAGAGAAGTATGAGCCGTTTGTAAATTCTTCATATAAAATTGTGTGTGCCACATTCTCCCAGAGCAGTTGATATTGCAGAGTTTTAGGAATTCTTCTGCTGCAACAAATTCTAGACTTTCATTGGTGTTTGGTGAGTGCCGTCAAATGGATTGCGTATGGCGTGCACCAGATATTCTTCTGCTGCAGCAAATTCTAGATTTTCATGCGTGACGTCAACTGGGTTGCATTTATTTGATTGCGGGTTATTCTGTCGGAACAGGCAAATAGGCGTACGTGCGGGAGAAGTCCTAGGATATCTTTCCGTTAATTTAATTGTGCTTGCAATTAATTTATTAGTAATTTTGGGTTTGTGTACTTTAAAATGGAGAGTAATTCAAGCTGGATGGTATTTTAAATATGAGCTTCCGATAATAAAAACATTCAGGATGCTATATCACAGGATCAAAATTTCCCTAGAATATATAGGAGGGTGCTTTTGCGAACTATGCATGACATGAATTTCCGTTTTATAAAACGAAACCGTATGAGTATGCTGTTATGTTATGTTATGATATGAAAGTTCACCTAAAAATTGACATAGAATCCGAAAATACGATAATGTACAGGGTGTTCCATTTAAAGTAATGAAGATGACGTCAACTTTCGGTATAACCGGAAGCGTTAGGTGGACACCATTATTTTAGTTGAGAAGGGCATGCCCGAAAACACTGTTGCCCAAATTTTCAAAATTAAAATCAAAGTAGTATCTGATATGTCTAATGTCTTGTCACCGTGGGACACCCTGTATTGGATATTTGTCAGACATAAAGTGATGTCTTGGTTGAACAATATTTTGTTAACCCTCCAAAGAGTTCACCCTGTATATTACTTTCATTATTTTGAGAAGCTTACTGAATGTACATGAACCGGTGAGAAAAATTATTCATTAGATTTTTTTGTCACACTTATAATTCCAGAAACGCATTTATTTAATTAGTTTTTCAGTATTTTTGTGGCAATCAGAACAGTTAGAGGCGTTTTTTAAAAATATTCTTGTTTTTTTATTACATCACGATTTCTTAATGAAAATTTTTACACAAAATCAAAAAATTGTAAATACTAATGGGAAAATATTTATTGATTTGTCACAGACAAAAAGTTCTTCCTTGCTGGAGATTTTATTTTTAATTAAATTTTGTTTTCTATATTAGGTTAAATTGTTAGGTTTCTTGAAAAGTTAATTCTCTTTACCTAGGAAATCAGCTAAATCTGTATTACAATTATTTTAAGTAAAACAAAACCAACCATTTTTCGCTTTTTATGGCCCCACAAACTTGTTTCAATTCGTGCGAATTGGCCACACGAATCTGCACAAACGTGCCAGGCACTTAGTGTGTGGAGAAAAAAAGCGGTATGGTTTCACACGTTGCCTTTCTTGGTTCGCGCGATTTGGTCCGTACGGTCCCATTTGCACAAATGGAACAAAGTCTGTGGGGCCCTTTAAAGATATTGAAACATGTAATACAATTTAAACGTCATCTAGTCGGCAACTCACATTATAATATTTCTTCAACTGTTGTGTATAAATACACAGAAGGAATTTTTTCAATGTAACAAATAAAATTATACTATGTATTTGGACTTATCCAGAAAAGTACAGTATTAAGTTCAGGTACTATTAATAGTGAACTGAAGTATGTAAATCTATCTCTTTTCCTTGTTTGATTATTAAAAAGCTGATTAAAAAAGTGCGATCTAGAATTTTGTTGTTAATTGAAATATAAAGAAGTGTGACAAATGCTCCATTTTTCTCATTGGTTCATGTACTTTCAGTATGCTATATGAAATAATATAAAAATATACAGGGTGAACTTTTCGGAGGGTCCACAAAAAGTTAGAAATTTTCCAATATTGGTCTCTAATGGCATATGGAGTATACTAAACATCAATTCTCACAAATGGTTTGAAAGCTATGGAAAGACAAGTTTTACTGAAAATTAAAAAATCACTCTGCATCTTTTAAAATTTTAATCCAAGACTTTTTTGAGAAGTCATTTCATACTCGCCTAGATTGCCCTACTCTGTCATTACAGTATATACAGTGTTACCCAGAAAAGACGATTGGCCACCATTTCAGGAAAGCGGAAAGAGCAAATGGGAAACCACAAGCGGGGATGTTTATAGCATGATAAGAATTTAATTAAAATTCCATCTTCGTAAGTCCACTCAATAAGACTGTGACGTCATTGAAATTATTTTTCTAAATTTCACACATATTTTTTACTTCATATAAAAGTTCTCATTTGTCCCGACAACTTTTGTTAAAAAGTGTTTCAATATCTCGTCCCAATCAAAGGATATAAAATTATATTTTTAGAGAAAATCACTGATTTGATCGAGTTTGTTGCTGATTTTAACAAGGTTGCCATGGAAACAAGATAATTTTAATGTTTATATCGACATAAATGATTTGCTTCCAGAATTTCCAGATTGCTAAATTTGAATCTTTCCAACGTTTACAAAAATTCAGAATTATATCTACTTTTTCACTGAGTATTCATTTTTTTTAATGATTGTAATTTTGTGCAAAATAATTAAAACATATAATATAAACATTGGTAGTCTTGTTTTCCATGTCAACTGTGACAAAATCAGTACAGACTTGAAATGCTTAATTTCTCTATAAAAATCGCCTTTTAATTTTTGGAAGGGGAGAGATAATGAAAAACTGTTTTAACAAAGTTGTTTAGAATAAAGAGGACTTTAGATACAAACCAATTTTATGTTTTTCGATAAATCCATCTCTAATAGCAATGGAGATATCACCAAAAGGATTTGCCATAAGCTCAATGTGTAAGGAGAAATGATTATTAATTCCTAGGCAACCAAGTCCTGTCTCACACATTACATTTATGGTACTCTCATTTGGATATATCTGTTATTTTTAGAAGTTTGCCTATAAAACCTTATATCCTGAAAATATATTCTATCCAACTGTTATGAAATGTCATTGTATTGTGCCAAAACTTCAGTCCTTCCATTTTTTTCAAAGTATGAAAGTAATAGAGATGAGCATAAAATTTTAATTTAAATATTTTCATATTGCTTATTACATGAGCCACTTAGTAGGATACGATTACATTGAAAGTTGTTGTAACAGAATTTCACTGTATTTTGAATTTTCATATTGAAACCATACCTTAATATTTTCTTGATTAATGTTTCTATTATTCCCCGCCCAAGCATTTTTTTAGTGAGAAAAAGACATATAGAAGTTGATGATTTCTAAATTGTCTAGCCATATTGTCACTGATTATTTTTTAGTAAATATCATTACCTATATCTTACAGTTNTTTGTTTGTTGTGCTAATTTTGAATACATATTTCCAAGGTTTACAAAAAATCAGAATTATATCTACTCTTTCATTGAGTATTAATTTTTTTTAATGATTGTAATTTTGTGCAAAATAATTAAAACATATAATATAAGCATTGGTAGTCTAGTTTTCCATGTCAACGGTGACAAAATCAGTACAGACTTGAAATGCTTAATTTCTCTATAAAAATTGCCTTTTAATTTTTGGAAGGGGAGAGATAATGAAAAACTGTTTTAACAAAGTTGTTCAGAATAAAGAGGACTTTTACATGATGTAAAAACGTATTTAGACAATTGAGAAAAGTAGTTACGATGATATCACAGTTCTTAGGATGGTAAACTTCCCAGAATGGAATTTTAAGTTAAACACACATCAAATCATCAGTTTCAGAGTTGCTCTTTCGACATTTCTGCGATGGCGGCCAACCATCAGTTCTCGATTACTGTGTTCAGTTCGGCATAAACATCCTGTATATAAATTAAGAAAAAAATAAAACAAACTACTATATTTATATGTCAAAGATATGCATCACAATTCTAGAAAATGTTCTGATTCCAAAATACTGTTTACGAAAATGGAGATACAAACCAAATTTATGTTTTTCGATAAATCCATCTCTAATAGCAATGAAGATATCACCAAAAGGATTTGCCATAAGCTCAATGTGTAAGGAGAAATGATTATTAATTCCTAGGCAACCAAGTCCTGTCTCACACATTACATTTATGGTACTCTCATTTGGATATATCCGTTATTTTTAAAAGTTTGCCTATAAAACCTTATATCCTGAAAATATATTCTATCCAACTGCTATGAAATGTCCCAAAACTTCATTCCTTCCATTTTTTTCAAAGTATGAAAGTAATAGAGATGAGCATAAAATTTTAATTTAAATATTTTCATATTGCTTATTACATGAGCCACTTAGTAGGATACGATTATATTGAACGTTGTTATAACAGAATTTCACTGTATTTTGAGTTTTCATATTGAAACCATACCTTAATATTTTCTCGATTAATGTTTCTATTATTCCCCGTCCAAGCATTTTTTTAGTGAGAAAAAGACATATAGAAGTTGATGATTTCTAAATTGTCTAGCCATATTGTCACTGATTATTTTTTAGTAAATATCATTACCTATATCTTACAGTTCTGCAATAAACTGGATCGTTTTAATATAACTGTGATTTTCAAATAAAAGATAATGATGTGATTAAAAAAAATTGTTCAAAGATGGTATTACAATTTGATTCAAATGGAGACTCGCTATTCATTTTAATTGGCGCATCCTACAGGAAAAAATTTATTATCTCGTGCAACTTGTAAATTATGAAAAATGGCATTGCAATAAAAGTGTGTGTCTAAGCTCACAGGTAATAATCCTACAATTAAAAAAAATCTTGTCACAATCGGATTAGCCATTTGCGAGACAATTAACTTAGGGAAGTGGAGCATATTTTTTAATTTTGAAAAGAACCACTATTGGATGATTTTACGAATATGGGTTAAGATTATTCAAATCAAAAAACCTACCTGTATCGCAGCTAATCCTATACCAACACCCCCAATAGTTGTAACGTGATCTCTAATGAAATCCCCAAATTCTTGTAAGCAACCAGTATGATAAGCATTAGTTGTATTGCACTGAAAACTGTTCATCGTTGCAGGTGGTATTTTACAGCAAGACATGGGTATTTCCTTATTGCCAACATCAGTCCAATCGGTACTGTTGTAAATGCCACAACATTTAAACTATAACAAAAAATAATTAACTATCATAGATAAACATCTCCGATATCAATTTAGCATAAAATATACACAGCGTGGTAAAAAAATTCTGCATAAAATTCATATTTTCATTAAACAATTTTTTTTCGAAAAACGGTGAGACCCGTCGATTTTTATTTGATCCAGGGCACCTTGTTATGTGGAAAAATTTTTTTTTCGATAATCCACTTACGGCAGCGATGACATAATTTTTTTTTAAATGACAACGCATATTTTTTTCGTTCGAAATTGATGACAGTGATAATTATCTAAACAACGGTGTGAAAATTTCGATGTCTTACATAACAATTTTTTTTAGAAAAATGCACCTTAAGTTCTTGAATGCAATAATTTGCTGTTTACGGATCAAATGCCTTAGAAAAAAATTTATTCGGCAGAAAGCATTTCAGATAACTTAAGTTGCAACTGGTGTTATGTAATATTTGCGGAATTATTCATCAGATATTGTCAGGATCCTGATTAAACTGCAAAATTTAGAACCAAGTTCAACCGCACAAAATCCAAATAGTATGTAGCAAATTAAGGTCGACTTTTTGTCTTCGAGTTTGCCGATAAATTCCCCAAAAAAAAAAGATCCAAAGAAATGTTTACTTGAAAGGAGTAGATTACCTGAAATATTGAAGACTAAAAATCAGTACCGATTTAACATTCTTTGGTGAAATCGTTTAATTCGAAATGGCAAAACTTAGTGAACGCGAAAGAATTGATATTTTGAGGATGATTGGTTTCGGCGATAAGTTACGAACCCATCAAGAAGCTTGCCAATTATTTAATGCAACGTACCCTGACAGACCACCAATTACGCAATCTACGGTTAGTAGGGTACTGGCAAGGTTTGAGGAAACTGGTAGTGTGAAAGATGCTCCTCGTGCGGGTCGTCCTAGAGTAGATGATGAAACTAGATTGAATATCCTGGTGGAGCTCCAGGACAACCCTCATTCTAGTACAAGGTCGATTGCATTGAACAATGATATTTCACATGTAACTGTGGTGAACTTTCTCAAAAAAGAGAAATTTCACCCCTATAAGGGTCACTTGATACATGCATTGACTGAGGACGACCCAGACCGCCGTCTCCACTTTTGTGAAGATTTAATGCATCGATGTAACGGAGACCCCGACTTCCTCAAGAACATAATTTTTTCTGACGAGGCTACTTTTTATCTTAATGGATCGGTGCATCGACATAACTGCCGGTATTGGTCTCAGGAAAACCCGCACTGGGTGCAAGAAGTAGATCATCAGCACCCCCGAAAGGTGAACGTTTGGGCGGGAATAATAGGGCGTCGTATTTTAGGCCCGTATTTTTTCGAGGAAAATTTAACTGCTGCTCGCTATTTGGATTTCCTGCGGTTCGATTTGGTCCCAAGCTTAGCAGAGTTATTCCCGAACAACGAGGATCCTGATATTCCTGAGGAAAGAATTTGGTTTCAGCAGGATGGTGCACCGCCCCATTATGGAGTGCAAGTACGGGAGTACTTGAATAACACGTTTACTGGCCGGTGGATCGGGCGACGCGGAACAATCGAGTGGCCTCCGCGTTCGCCTGATTTAACACCTCTAGACTTTTTTTGTGGGGCTATTTGAAATCGCGTGTGTACACAAACAGACCAGGTGATTTGGAAGAACTTAAAAACCGTATTCGTTTTGAAATAAATCAAATCGACCCGGGAATGCTTGAACGAAGTGTAGACGGCGTTTACACACGCTTAGGACAATGCCAAATGGTACAGGGTGGGCAATTCGAACAATTTCGCTAGACTTACGCAAACATTAGTGTAATTTTACTCGTTTGAAAAGTAATTTTGTCAACTTTGTCCTTTTCGGAGCCATTAATTGTGTAGGTAGACAATTATCACTTATAAGAACTTAAGGTGCATTTTTCTAAAAAAAATTGTTATGTAAGACATCGAAATTTTCACACCGTTGTTTAGATAATTATCACTGTCATCAATTTCGAACGAAAAAAATATGCGGTCATTTAAAAAAAAAATTATGTCATCGCTGCCGTAAGTGGATTATCGAAAAAAAACATTTTTCCACATAACAAGGTGCCCTGGATCAAATAAAAGTCGACGGGTCTCACCGTTTTATGAAAAAAAAATGTTTAACGAAAATATGAATTTTATGCAGAACTTTTTTAACACGCTGTATAATTCCTTATTATATTGATTCTTTGCACAAATATCCTACATATTTAATTCAAAATATGTAAATTTTGCTGACCATTGAGCAGTTCTTAGATAGTTCAATTTTTTTAGGATATTGGTGAGCAGTTTATAAAGTTATGTTTTCAAAATCTTTACCTCTGTTTGAACTTTATCCCAAATTTCTGCAATTTCAGTGTTATTTTCAGAGTATTGTTTCATGGTGGTATTTAAAGTTTCTGTGAGGAAAGCTTCAGTTTTATTTTTTAATAGCATACCACTTACTCCTGCTATAATTTCCAGTATGAAGATGATAATCAACAATGTAGAGAACTGTAAATGAAATAAGAATTTCGTAAAAAATAAACTAAATCTATGAACATATGCAATTTACCGTTGTTGTCATACAGGAATTTTCCTTAACAGCTCCACAGCATCCGAAGAAAGCGATTAAAAATATTATGGCTCCAACAATAATTAACAAATCGGAAACATAAAAATATTTGTTATCCAAAAAGGTATCGAATTCATGGTAATAAGCTTTGGCACTGATCCCTACAGATATAATTATTACACCTGTTATCTGAAATAAAAACATTTAAATATGTACAGAGGTATCTAGAAAAAATCTTGAAGACCAAAGTTTTAGGCAATTTTTTTTTATAATTTCAAAAAAATAGATAAAAGAACAAGTGAAGACTCTGTTTCGAGATGTAAATCAACCTTGTTATTTTCTTAATGGAGCACCATTATTATTAGTCTGTAAAAAGGAAAATAGTCAAGACTCTCATAAGAACCAATAACTATGTACGCTTTTCTGCTGTTAAATAGATATATGAGAACATATATTCCAGGTAAGTTTTTTTTATAATACCGTTTATCATTCACTCCATTGATAGTATTAACTTTATTCAATATTTTCTGCATTGTGTCAATATAATTAGACTGTTATTTGTTTATTTTATTTTTCCAAAGTTCCCCATAGGAACTAAATCAGGACCTCTCACGAACCAGAAAATTGTTTCTTCATAAGAGAAACCAAGAGAGAAACTTAGTTGAATGTATGTGCTTTATCTATCTAACAGAATGGAGTATAAAACACTTTTAATAAAAAAATGTAAAGATCTGTTTAGTAAATTTAATAGAAGAAAAGTACGGCAATCTTAACTTCATCACTTGTGGAGAACCAGTAAATAAACGAAAATATTGTGCAAACTGTTAAAGCAAATATGACACTTACGTGTCATAATCAGAAAAAAGTGAGGAAAAAAATGTTTAGTTTAGAGCATGCAAAAATGATGAATTTTACTTTTAGTAACTAAGGCCTACTTCAATATGTTTCTCTAGTTTAATTATAAGAAATCGTATTCATATTAAATTGTGACATTTTTTGCCCTCCAAATCAATTGAAAAAAAATACCACAAATCTATTTAACTACACAAATTTTAGAGGAAACAATATATTAGATTAGACAGAAGAAAAATATACAATATACCTAATGTCTATAAGCTCCAGGTAATTAGCTTAATTTTGCTTGCTAAAAGTGTGTCTATTTGCTATGAAAAACTTGTTGCATTTTATAGCAAAATATGGAATTCCGAACCTTAGAAAACAGACGAATATCAGCTTTTACTAATATTACATATGTTGTATATTATAGTCCTGGGACTGCAATCTACACTTGATGGATTTGTTGTATTTTGCAACAATTGTTAAAGGGGGGGGAGTTCCAAAGTTGTACTAAAGCTTAACTGCGAAAAATTATGTATGAAAACTCTTTAACTCTTATTATTGTAAGTTCAAATGTACTTTTTTGTATATAACGTGGTCAATAAAAAATAAGTAAGAATTTTTATTTCAATATAAACTTTTTGATATATAATATCATGGCTGTCAAGATATTTTACAACTTACATATAAACACTTTATTTACTTACTATTTATCTTGGTATTACTCATACTTTGATAAGAAGGTACTTGATTTGTACATGATTTTTTTTAATATTAAATATTTACGGTATTAATTATGTTATATTATGTTCCATTCCATCTTAACTGTGTTAATTATTTTCATAAAGAAAATATTACAAAGTAATTGTTAAAAAAAGCATTCTTACCGAAAAAAATATGTTGAACAAAACAAGTAAATATCGAGAATACTTTCGCATTAAATCTGAACAAGTCATTGTGAACTTCTATTCTGTTAAATCCAAAATAGTTTTGCCTTTATCTGATATATTATCCGGTATTCTTCACCCTTTTCCCTCGAACCTCGAACTAATTACACTGCCAATCTGTCAATGTCACAATTTACAATGTCATTTACCATACACAACCATAGAACTTCAATAATAAAAAACCACAGACCACCTAGACTGGCCGTATCTAATTCCATTGCACGGGTACCAGTAAATGCAAAATCCGAGGTAGTGGAGTGTGGAAGGCAATCTGATCGCGCGCATCTTTAAGCAGATCCGGATTAAGTAATATTTTTATTACATATTAAATATTATATTGCATCTTACGACAAATATTCAATTTTATGTTTGTAATTCAGAAAATAGTATATTTTAGTGTCATATTAAATAAAACTACAAAATAATTTAAATATATTTATTATCCTCTAAATAATATTAATTTATTTAATATTTGTCTTTTCGTAGATTTTACCGAATTAAATAATTTGACTTCATGATTTATTCGTACATCGATATACTTTTCACATTCAGCCCTTACAAGTTCTATTAAATGATTACAATTGTTAGGCAAATTATCAAATTGATGTTCATGCAAATTTTCAAATATGTTCACATTCAGAAAGTTTTTTAATACATGATAAACAATTTTATTTTTCTGTAGCCTAGGTGTTCTGCTTTCATCATTATTAAAAAAAATTATTAATTTTTCTGTTTCTTGGCATATTACTACGACATCTCGAGATGGATACGTCAAACAACCACGATCTTTAATAAAAATTAATTGACTGTACGAATACTGAATCTGAAATTAGTTTTGTTTGCGATTTTTTTAATTGAAAAAAATATTTAATTAATTTTCAGCTATCTCGAAATGACGGGAATTGGTAAAATTTCATAAAAATTTGAGACTCA